ACCGTAAGAAAAACAATTAATCTTAACATACCAGTCCCTTAAATATTTGCCTTTTGCCCTTTGTAAATACCCTTTCTCAAGATTTTGAGAAAAGGCTTTCAGTAGTTCAGGTAATATTTAAGGTCAAAAAAAGTTTTGGGTAGCGTTATTCTCAAAATTATGAGCTTAAGTTATTTCAAAAGTTAACGTTGCTTGAAATAACGAAAAAAAAAAAAAACTGAAGATAAGTTAAAAAAGAAAATTAAATGCAGATTACAGTCAATTCTGGATTAGGCGCCAGGAAATTACTCTCCTAAGTACAAATTTAAAGTGAAATATTACTAAAGCAAATCCAGCTATTCTGCCTGTTTATGATCCTCGTGACCTGCTTATAAAATCAAACTGCATCAACAAATATAAGAACGAGTCTTGCTATACGATGTGCTACTATTTCAAAATGCTTACTGAAGTTAATGCTTTCAGAAGAAAGAGGTTTTCACACAGTGCTTCAACCCTTGCATAGACATTTTTTGAGTGTGTCAAATGGTATATTGTAACTTTTAATCTTGTTAATATTTGAAACTGCTATTTCTTTTCGATTGATATTAATTTGTTGTCTTCTTATGAGTCGGGAGACTTTGTTGACGATGAAAAGTATGATCACGATGACTTTTACGGGAGCTCCGGTTAAAGGTCTCTATTTATGATGATTCGGCATTTTCCCTTTATTACATGTACATTTCACAAACTCCAATAAACACATGAAATAAACAAGCAAAGTGAAGTGCAATAAAAGCAAAACATACCGCACATTTCTCTCATAATATTTCTCATAAAATTACGAAACTCCTTTTTATTGGTTCTGGAAGCAACTATTTGCTGTTGATGTTTGATAGCTGAATAATCCTACGAAACGATGTTTGATAAAGAAGATAGTTGCCATGCTTTGGAGGCTTTAACTTATCGTAAAATCACGGAGGACATTAGGAAAAATTATATTTTACAAATTGAGATCCTTTTCACGGAAGAAATATGTCATGACAAAATAAACATCGCATTTTAAAAATCACGTGAAACTAAGATGTGAAGTTACAAAGGTACCTTCTGTTTAATTATGTCAAATGATCTCCAAATGAAAGCACGAGGAAGTACGGAACAACACTTGACGGAGTTTTTTTTTATGGATATTTAAATAAAATTTTGTATCTAAAGTATTTATAACCTATTTCAGCTACCATAAACCTATTGTTTCCTTCTTAGAATGTAATTAATTCACAAATATAATTGTATATTTGGCACAAAAGTATTACTTTATGAGTATAGACATATGAATAAATAATTTTATAGGACAATACTAATATCCCCTTGTTTTTTACTCACCGAAGTAATTCCTGAAATAACACCACAAAATTTGCAGTTATCACTTCTATAGTGTGGTCATAAGCACACATACTTTTTTTTTATATCACTTTTTTTCAAATAAGCCATATTTTCTTTGTAGAAGATATCTTTAAAAATTAAGTATTTATTGAGTGTTTTAGTACTGAAAATTAGCTTGCGAACTGTTTGATCGACTAGCGTGTGTGAGACTTATATTCTTAAAAATTCGCATACCATCACATCACCACACTACGAAACCCTGTAAAAGACTACAAAACCACAAAAGCAATCAGCTTCATCACGCAATTGAAGTACTGTACAAGAATTGAACAAGTACGCTTGAATAGTGAAGCCGGGAATATTTTCGCGTAATTCAATTAACAGCCGCTCCAGAATTTTGTCCCTAATGCAGTTTTATCATAATAGCTAAATATCCTGTTTTCAAACAGGACTTCTTATTTCCCCCACCTTCTCATCAGAAACTTTTTTGCCCCAAGAAATCATTTACGTAAACAGGGACAAAAGCAAAAAATATTACCTAAGACCTTTGCAGAAAATTCACAATCAAAAACAGATTTTAGTTCAATATAATTACTAGCCATATTTGAGAATATAATTGAGTGTGTCGAACCTGTAAATGTTCGCGTGCAATTGAGCTAGTTGTGCTTGTTTTCTGTATACATAATTTTGTAAGAATATTTAATACTCTCTCACTCTCTCTCGTTCTCTCTGCAAGACTTGGATTGTTTTCAATATTTTGCACATGTTCGCGAGCTTGTGAAAGGGCGTTGTTGCGGTAGTGTAGTGTAGCAGTGTGCGCATTAAATCTGTTGAGGCTCAAAATTGGCGAGGTGTGAAAGTCTGAAGATTGAATGTTTATAAACGACGCATTTTGAAGATAAACTATGGTGAAGGAGCTTGTAGCGGTATCTAAATAAACCAGTACTTAAACATCACGCGAAGAAGATCGTTTTGGCGTGATCGATAAAGTACTGGCGTTCGGAACGGAAAGTGCCCGGTTCGGATCTTCCTACATTGGTGACCCGTTGACTGAAGTAAGAAAATGCAACTTTCTGAACTGTCATGGCGCCATCTACCGCAAGAAAAATAAATAATAATAATTAATAAAAAGAGAAAAAATGAATAATAAGAAGAGAAGATAGAAAAAATAAATAAATAAACACTCTCTCAGGAACAAACAAAAAAAACGTTCGCCAATCCCCCTCCCTGGTGGGAGAGAAGTGTAGCGGTATCTAAATAAACCATTACTTAGACATCACGCGAAGACGATCGTTTTGGCGTGATTGGCCTTCGGAACGGAAGGTGCTCGTTTCGGATCTTTCTACAAGCTCGTAATTTTTAAGCTTTACCACTTGGAAATGTCAACATTTGAGCTGACTTTGCACACGTTCATTACTTCCATACTAGGTCAACGTGAGGCCATTGAGCCTGGACAGATTTAACATGCATCCCCCCCTTTGGTAGTACGAAATTTGACAACAGCGGCTACCCCCGAATGTGTGACTATGACCCCATGGATACTTTGGCCACAGTTTGGAAATAGCATTAGAGAAATAACGAGAAAAGAAACCCCGGTGTCTTTCTAGCCAATTGAACGTAGTTGAAAACAAGTAATATAAAAAAAAAATTAAGTCAATTCCAACTTAGGTCAACAAAGAAAAATTTTATTTTAGTTACTTTTTATTAAATAGTTACAATTAATATAAATATGTA